AGTGAAGTAGCAGGAAAATGTTGCCCCCATGGTTTACAACTACAGTCAGGAAGAGAGTGAGAGAAGATGAGGGGGAGAGCTCTCGCAGTACCCCAACAGTGGGATAAAAATCCAACAGAAACCACGGGTCATCAAATACACTGCATTAAATAAGTGTTTCTGTGTTTCTGCCACCACTACATTCGCAACCTGTATAAGCCAAGTCACACCAGAAGTGATAGGAAATAATGCCCTAGAGGGGACACAAAGATTTTCCAGTGACTAAACGGGAGCTTAATGCCCCCACAAAAGATGATAATTTGAAACAGTTGTTGAACTGCAATATAAATGTGAACATAAGGAACAGGGATTCCGTGTGATAGAGATAAGGAATTTATCAGAAGAGTAAAAATGTATTTATTTTGTTTCATATAAATCCTACAAAAACCTCCCATATGACTGAAGCGCTAACCAGAGGTAACACTAACACAACAATCCAACCAGCCTTTGAAAAGAGTATGGTTGAGCACGGCACAAGAAAACTATTTTATTTACATGACTGAAAAAAGAACATCGATATCAAATTTATAAGAAGTATAATTAATATAATAATGCTTCATTTCAGGGATTAACACAATTGGTTTTCTTTTTTTTGAGGGGGGGTATAAACTCTATAAGGATACACCACAAAACACTTGGGAAAAGAATTATTCTAGGACTTTGCTACAACTCTCAATTTCTGAAGTATTATTTTTACTTGGCCTGGAGTGCTGCTAAATAAGAGCAGTATCAACAACAGGTCTACCTGGTAGACCCTTCTGAAACACCTGTGACTTAACCTAGAAGTTCTGGCACTGAAAACATCACCACAAAAAAGCATAAAAACTAAACCAAGTTCACAGATTCACCACACATTCCGCAAGGAATGCCCAGGAGAAGAAAAAATAAGAATTCAGAGAGACTTCATACAGATATGGACTTGCCATGATGTCTTTAACCACCTTATTGAAGAAGAACCTTAAATGGAAGAAAAATTAAATGTAGGTATTAATCACAACCAAAACCGAAACAGGAGAAAAACAGCCAGAAAGACCTTTTAAATCTATCTTGGATTTGGTTTTGGGGTTTGTTGTTAATCCTCCTTCCAGTTAGATTCCTCCAATCTTCAGAAATACATCCTGTACCCACAAAACCCCCTTCCTTTTTCCCTAATGCAACAGGTAACCTTTATGTTTTCACCCCACAAGGGACCAACATTAATTCTTGTGAATTGCTTCCTAAAACAGATCTGAGGAACCATGGGCACCCCCAGCTCCCTGCAACACCCCCGGGGAGACCTCACTGCATCTCACCTGTACTGCTGCCCCTCATCAGAACACAACAGCCCGAGAGATGGACCCAACACAGCACAACCCCGCTCCTGCCACTTCCCATTTCCACAGAAATAAAAATAAATAAAAATAAAGTGTCCTGGACTCTAGGTGTTCTTCTCTTTAAAAGTCAAAAAATTAAATATTAAAGCAGGTTCACCATATACACCAGAATTGGATATTTTTTTTCCCCTCTGGTCCTAAGCAATGCATGAAAATAGGGTAACCTTTAAACAAAGAAAGATTCAACTCAAAGCAGACAGAAAGCAAAAGTAGTTGAAATTACTTAAAAGTCACAGAAATTCTCTGGCACAGCTGCTTGGGAAACTGGGGTGACAAACCAGAGGGGTTTTGTTGGTCAGGTTGTTTTGTGGGTTTTTGTTTGTTTGTTAAGCTGGATCAAGGAGGAGAAGGTAACCTCAAATGGATGAGCAAGAGACTGAAAAACTACTTTTTATTTAAAAAAATAAAAGAAGATTAAAAAAAAAAAGGGGGGGGGGATTGCCACCCTTAGGACATCCACATAGTAATGGCAGAAAGGAACTGATAAAAATGTCACTTATGCAGAAAGACACATCTGGTACAACGGCATTTCTGGTATCTTATCTTTTTCATCTCAGGTGGCATCTACAGACTAAGATCTTCTCTCTCAATAAAGTGGTGAAAGTGTTTTCAGTCATGCCACTTAAAAATGCAAATTCTGGGAAGCTGATCCCAGTCCCTAAAGCACATTTGTGATGACTCCAGCATGTCCTCTGACACCCTGGTTGTGATAGTCTCGATAGATGTGCTATTTATTATCTACAAACAGAGACAGGAGAGCACTATCCACTCAGGCATGAACTGAGCAACTGGTGTGAAAATTTTTCTCATAAAAATTACATTTTCTTATTTTTTTATTTTAAACCTTAGCGTCCAACCCAATCCAGTGGAACAACTGGGAAATTTGATTTTAATTTAAGAAGCAAGTAGGTAGAATGAAAGCTTCTAAAAAATGGCCTTCTCCTTGTAAAAGACTATAGTTTAAACCTTAGCGTCCAACCCAATCCAGTGGAACAAGTGGGAAATTTGATTTTAATTTAAGAAGCAAATACATAGAATGAAAGCTTCTGAAAACGGCCTTCTCTTTGTAAAAGACTATAAAACAATTTGTGGAATTGGTTGGGATAGTTCATATTTTAGGGCAGGTCAATACTCATTGTTAACAGAATAAATATTTTTTACCTTTCCTATTCCTGAATGTTTTGCTTTAAATTTAAACTTGTAAGTGGAAAAAACTCACTGTAATGCTAAATAATAAAGCCTCAATAACTTGAGAGAATTCTTTGAGGTTTCTAATTTGCCCAACAAATATACCCTTAATATACTTTACTCCCAGTCAGTCTTGAGTCAAAATTGAATTAAATGTAAAATACTAATAAAAACCAGCCTGTTCAGTTTGTATTTTCTGTTTCCTGTGTCATTACTTGACTTTGCAAATGAATGTTATTGAGACACGCTTAGGACAGGAGGACATGGCCTCAAGTTGCTCCAGGGGAGGCTCAGATTGGAGAGTAGGAAACATGTTGACGTGGAAAGGGTTCTGAAGCCTTGGACTGGGCTGCCCAGGGAAGGGGTTGAGGCCCCATCCCTGGAGGGATTTAAAAGCCGGGTTGACCTAGTGCTTAGAGACATGGTTTGGTGATGGTTTTTATCAGAGTGAGGTTGATGGTTGGACTGGATGGTCTGAAAGGTCCCTTCCAACCTGGACAATTCTACGATTCTAAAAGAGTGACATAAAAAGTAACCTAAAACTTTCTAACTAGGTTGATTCTAACCCTGTTTCCTCCACAGAAATAAAGAAATTTACTGCCTAAATAATATCTTGCACATTAACCTATCAGACAACAGCATCAACTTGATAAATTTCATATACAAGCTGTCATTAGTTCAAAACACTGAGAAGGTGTTGCTGCTCTACGCCTGCCACAAATCAGTCAGAGTTTACAACTAACAGCTGTTTGACAACCTTTTCTAACTGAAAGCACAAGTACAATCGTAAAAACATCCGCAGTATTTTGCTTGTCTATGAGCTAGATCTAACAAGTTCATGGGACAAACCTTGGCAGAAGGAACATCAACTAACAGCGTGCTGTAAGATGACAGAATGGTCAGAGTTGGAAGGGATCTTCAAGACCATTGAGTTCCAACCCCCCTGCCCTGGGCAGGGACACCTCCCACCAGACCAGGTTGCTCCAAGCCCCATCCAGCCTGGCCTTGAACCCCTCCAGGGATGGGGCAGCCACAGCTTCTCTGGCCAACCTGGGCCAGGCTCTCACCACCCTCACAGCAAAGAAGTTCTTCCTGAGATCTCATCTAAATCTACCTAAGATTACTTATAATTTAAAAAAATAAATAAATAAAAAACCCTTTGTGATGTCATTTTTATATATTTTGATATCCCACGGAGAATCAATAGCAATAGAGAGAATTAATCAGCTTGACTGACAGGAGAAATACATGCGCATACCGTAATCCTGGAGTTAATTACATCAAGTTGTAGATGACACCACAAATAACTCAGGTAGTACTACTGAGATTATGAAGAACACAAACTGTAAATCTTTTACAGCATTTAATAAACCACACTCCCCACAGAGCAGCATTAGCAGCTTTTCAAGCAACCACCTGTTAAGCAAATACTTAAATGTCACATGTAGAAAATTACTTAACGTGAAAGACCTACCTTTTGTCAGTGGTTCCAGAAAAAGGTAATTTTACCAAAGAAACGCAGAATTAGGCCAACATCTTGGAATGGTGCCATTCCTAACACTCTGCTTCTACCTGGTACCTTTCTCTGCCCTTTTCCCTCTCCCCCTCCACACACTGTGCCTTCCACCACCACCCACCTCCCACCAAAAACATCACAAGAGGAACGCCGTTTCTCACGCACGTAAGACAATTAACACTGTCGTCCTAATGGTTTATCTATCCTTACCCAGCCTTCCTCCTCACCTCTAATAGCTCTAATTTTACACACCACCATTTAAACCACAGAAGTGATGCCTTCTATCAGCTTCCAACAGATGAGGAAGGGGTAGAAGGGAATATTAATTTCAGTTGTTTGGACAGCCCCTGCAAACCACAGTTAAGAATGTCTTATCTCGCCCCATGGTGGTATTTGTTGAATTCTATAAACTTTGATTTAAAAGCATCAAGTAATGGGATAACTGATCTCATCCTCAAGTTATTTTTTCAATATTTTTTTCTTACTCTCTTAGTTATTCTGTATTTGTCTGATTTCAGCTTCCCGCCAAGGATGCTGTCAACCTCCTTTCTGTCATTCCAGCCTGTCTCCAGTTTTCAAGCACTTTATTCCGTCCCTGCAGCTCCCCAGTTCTCTTCACTAAGTTGTCAGGTAAGAGACATCTCCTTGGAAATGTTTCTTCCAAGGACATTCGATCTCCAGAGCTGCCCTTAAAACCAAATTCTAAGTAACAAAACTAAAGCAAATTGACGTGCATCCCTCTTCTGGTAACTTTCATAACGATACGTAATAAAAGAGAAATCACCAATTATTTTTTTAAATCTTTTTCAAAACAGTGAATCTAACAGATTCTGAATCTAACAGATAAGTCAAAAGTGGAAATAAAAACCCACAGGAAAGCTCACCTTTCAATCTTGGACAGGCATGACGTCCAAGGAACGCTCCAGCTGGATGTATTATATCCCTTCTGCTTCTCCAAGCAGTCTTCTTCTGTGGCTTCCTCTCTTCTGCCTTGCTAGCTGGACCTCATTCTACCTCCCTGCCCTTGAACCTGAGGCATTATCCACCCAGCAGCTGGCTTCTGTCACTCCCTCTCCGCAGCACTCAGCATGGTCCCTGTAGCTCCGAGGCCACCAAGAAGCCCACGCATCAGCTCTAGGAAAGAAGAAAGTTGGAATGAGCCAGGACACACGGACACAGGGCAGGGCAGTCAGCTTCACAGATCCCAGATCCACCACAGCCAGAAGAAAACATCAAACAGCCAGAACCACCAAGCAGAGCAGTCTAAAGAATGAAGATAACCCATGAATTCAGGTCATCACTGGCAAAACCGATTCAAAAAACTTGAAAACCTTCAGAAAGGAGAAGAAAATTTGGAAGAGAAAGCAGGATCTGGTATCAGATGAGCACTTGCCCAGGGTAAGCTGGGCACAGAGCAGATGCTCAGCACACAACCTGTGGGCCTGAATGATTGTGCCCAGTGTGCCCAGGTGGCCAAGGAGGCCAACAGCATCCTGGCCTGGATCAGGAACAGCGTGGTCCTTCCAACCTGGACAATTCTATGATTCCAACAGAAGTGCCTTGTAAAACGACTGTTACTCTAAATATCAAATAAAGGACTTTGCCCTCGTTATCCCCCAGCCAAACCTCTTCTCTTCCTAGACATTTCAGACCAGCAGTAACCTGGTAGGAGAATCCTTGCAATTTTTCTAGAAGAAGAGTTCTGCACAGCAAATTGCAGGACTACCTAATTGCCTTAGTAAATTGGTCCAACCTGGACAATTCTATGATTCCAACAGAAGTGCCTTGTAAAACGACTGTTACTCTAAATATCAAATAAAGGACTTTGCCCTCGTTATCCCCCAGCCAAACCTCTTCTCTTCCTAGACGTTTCAGACCAGCAGTAACCTGGTAGGAGAATCCTTGCAATTTTTCTAGAAGAAGAGTTCTGCACAGTGCAGTGTATTTCAGACTAGCAGTAATCTGTTAGGAAAATCCTTGCAATTTTTCTAGAAGAAGAATTCTGCTCAGTGCGTTGTATTTCAGACATCAAAGGCACCCCAAAACTCTCACTACTTCTTACTGATTACAGTTTAAAACCCTGTGTTTCCTCAGTAAACCCCAACTGGTACTAACCAGCAGTCCAACAGCACACAGCAGAACACACAAAACACAGTGGGAACAGTTCTTGTATGTCCTCATTAGGAAAAAGCGCCCTTTAATCAGAGTAAAGATCATTTTGTGGAGACATTTCAAAAATACTAAGGAACATAGAAAGTGCAAGATGAGTTCTGTTTAAATATTACTCTTTTTTTAATGAAACTGGTAATAAACATGAGATTTGGAAGTTAAATTTTCTTAGAAATACCCGAAAAACATGCATCTTGAAATGGTAATAGTTTCATCCAGGAAAAACTAAGCCAAACATAATTTAATACATTTTTAACATCCAACGAATGCGCAGCTGATGATTTATTTCTACTGAGCCTCAGTGCTTCACCCACACACCACAGGCAAACGGCACAGCGAGGCATGGCTGTGTCTCAGGAGCCACAAACAGGAAAGTTATAGCCACACTTTCAACACCATCAGAGTCGGGCACAGCAAAGTCAAGGATGAATGACCATCTGCCCGGCCTGTCACACCAACACCTTACATGGGCTGCAAGGAAGAACACGTGCCGAGTATCACTGAACCAAGAGTTACCACAACTTGCCATATCTTTTATAAAATACCATCAGAGAATCATAGAAGGTTAGAGTTGGAAGGGACCTTCAAGATCATCAAGTTCCAACCCCCTGCCCTGGGCAGAGATACCTCCCACCAGACCAGGTTGCTCCAAGCCCCATCCAGCCTGGCCTTGAACCCCTCCAGGGATGGGGCAGCCACAGCTTCTCTGGCCAACCTGGGCCAGGCTCTCACCACCCTCACACCAAAGAAGTTCTTCCTCATATCTAATTGCAGAAAAAAAAAACCCACAAAACTCATTGGCCCAGTTCAATCACTTTTTCTTAATGGGGAAAAAAAAGCAAAACACAAACAAAGAATTTGCAAGAATCCTTTCATAAGATAGAAGTCATGGTCTAAACAGAAAGAACTGCGCAATGCTACGACTGGAAACCTTAAGAACATCACTTATCATGAGCTTTGCTGGTTGGGAAGATGGGTAGAAGAGTAGAGCTCCTTTAACCACACAGGAAATCATGTCTGAAACAAGTACTCGGCTTCCGAATTACTTCACATCCACAAATATGCTAAAACTGCTATAAAGCTTCAGTAGATACTCAGGAATCAAGTCTTTAATTCTTTGTCAAGGGGATGAGTTAAGATGCTTGTTTAAGGATCTGGTTTTGACAAATAATAATCCCCACTTATTTGATGCCAAGAAAATCAGAGCCACTTGAGTAACATGCAATATCCCTCCACCACTGCTTACAGGTTTAAAATCCTAAAAATCATAAAGGTCAACCACAGTTCACATGAAAACTGATTCTGCTCCTACATAAATTCAGCAGTATGTAATATAACTTTTCTAAAGCTTCTTAAACAAACGTACAGACAAAAAGATACAGCAAAGGAACATTTAGGAAGTGAAGTCTCACAGTCAAGATGTTGGAAACAACAGATTTACAGTTAGTAGGGCAATCTTAATTTACCTCCGATGTACAGATTTATCATGAAACCATCTGGAATCACCGTCCTTTGCTCCAGAAGGCTCCTGCCTTAGGCTTAATACCAAAGGGGTAGAATACAAGTAATGGTACCTTCAGAACTTCTAGGGGCCTAGAACATCTCTCTTAGGAGGAAAGGCTGAGGGACTTGGGGCTTTTTAGTCTGGAGAAGAGAAGACTGAGGGGGGATCTGATCAACGCCTATAAATACTTTAAGGGTGGGTGTCAGGAGGATGGGGTCAGGCTTTTTTCAGTGGTTCCTGGGGACAAGACAAGAGGTAATAGGCACAAGTTTGAACATAAGAAGTTCCACCTAAACATGAGGAGAAACTTCTTCACTGTGAGGGTGGCAGAGCCCTGGCAGAGGCTGCCCAGGGAGGTGGTGGAGTCTCCTTCTCTGGAGACATTCAAACCCACCTGGACACGTTCCTGTGGGACCTGCTCTGGGTGGACCTGCTCTGGCAGGGGGTTGGACTGGATGATCTCCAGAGGTCCCTTCCAACCCCATAGCATTCTGGGATTCTCTGACTGATTGTTTGAATTCTTAATGTAAAAATACTATTTGATGATAGCCTTTGTACAAAATGCACGTGTAGATATACAGGCACACATCACTTCTGTAAAATGTTTCACAGTTCAAAGCAACAGACTCTCTCCCCAAAAAAGGCTGACTCTCCAAGACTCACTTCCCATAACAGGATTTTCCCACTATCCTCCTCTGCTCAGCAGTGCTCTGAAAAAGAAAAACCACCACAAACTGCACAGAAGCATTTCTCCAGACAAGTGACATTTAGACAACCGTTCCTTCCCGTCTCTGGCAACCTTCCACTGCTCAGCTGTGCTAACATTAATAAAAAAATCTTAAGGTGAGTAAGAACTCTTCAAAATATGTCAAGAATTGGGGGAGAAAAGCAGTATTGGGAGAGGAAAATCCATTAAAAAAAATAAAAACAAGTCAATTATGATTCTCAAAATTGCAGGACTACCTAATTGCCTTAGTAAATTGGCCTGTAAGAAAAAAAGAAAAAAAAAAAAAGAAAACAACAAACAAAAGGAAAAGAATTAGGAGAAACATAGACCTTCCCAGTATTTTTCCTGACACAGAGTGTCCAAATGTCTGAAAGTCTCCTTTAATTCAACATATGAAAAATTGAGAAATTACTTTTTCCAGGAACACTGGATTCTGGGCATTTTCTCTATTTAAATCCACATGCAGACATACTTGTCTTCTGTTTTTCAGAAACCTTCATGCATATGCACACGTGTGCAAGGAAGGAAGGGGAGGCTGACGTACTAAGGGATTTGTTCCAAAAGTTCCTCCTCTTCCCTATTCCCACCCACCAGAACTTCCCCTTCTGACCCATCTTTTCTTCTCTACCTCTAGGCTCAAAGGTTACGGTTCAGCACGGAAGTGGTGAAGAAAGGCCTTGAATATTCACCCCAGAGCAAGAAATTTTAGGAATTTGGGCAGGAGAAAAAAAAGTAAGAGCAGCCTACAAAGTCCAAAGGTTCAGAAGTTTTTAGAAGAGTGATCACTAAGGGATCACATCAGTAAAGAGAAGAATTATGCTGGAATTATGGCCTCTTACAACCAAAGTGGTGACAAAACCATAGTAAAATCACAATTACAAAAGGGCTGGGAATCTGCTTCTGGGTTGACAGAACAGCTGCTTGACTGCACGTCTGACAAGTATTTCCTACCCCCTTTCAGGAGTTTTTACTAGCACTAACTCATTAGCTCATCTCGTTAACACATCCCTGGTTCTCTAATGCAGCAATAGCAGCAAAGTGGAGCACGGCCAGGGGTGTGAGGACATTCAACTCCCATCTCTTTGGGGGAAACACTAAGAATTTCTCAGACTTACAGCAAATTTTAGATCCACTTCTCAACGTCCCAGAGATCTAAACAGAAAGTCTCATGTAATCAATTAAATCTAGAGGTTGTGATCTTAAGAAAAACACCAAATATGGCTGTATGACCAAGATGCAAACTACAGTCTGTCAGATCCTTTCATCCTTCCATCAAATAGATATCCAAGATATAAAGGGCTTCAGTTAATTAATAAGGATTGCTGAAATCACATGAAATGTCAGAAAAATCAAAGGTTGGGTCATTCTTCCTAAAAGGGAGAATTAAAAATTAACAAAGATCACCTCACAGTACTGAAGGGAAAAAAAAAAAAAAAAGAAATCATGCCTGTCCTTAACTTAAGCACTATGAACTTTGCAGACTGGGATTCCCAAAAGACAAATTAAGTGATGCTAATGAATGGGAAATACATGGATTCAGGTACATAGTTGGACCCCAGTAAACATAGTATAGAATGTTTTGTTACACGTATTAATTAACGTTCCACAAATTAATTAGAGTAATTTTAAACTAGTGCTTAACTGGCAAAACTAGTACATACATTAAAAATTCTCTGAAACCAAATGAAAACTCAAAAATTTAAGACTAGAAATCGCCAAGTTTGTCA